TCTCTTCCTCCTCATTCAATTTGGAAATGGCAACAACTGAGGTCGGCTTTCCGATCTCATTTCATCGGGGCTCAAGTATGCCTTATCCCAAAAGAATCTCTTGCGAATATCACTCAAAAAGATGATGAAAGCGTCAAGGATTATATTGCCCGGTTCAATGACCGAGTTCAGAATATGGAACCTTGTCATCCTGAAACCTTGCTTGTCATGGCTATTGCTGGATTGAAACCGAATTCGATTTTCCGCTAGACACTATGCCAAAATAAACCGAACACCTTTCAAGAATTTCTCGCTCGAGCCCAGCAGCACATCATAGCGAAAGAAGCCATGTCGGTTCCCGATTTTAACTTTAACCCGAAGTCTTCTAAAGCGGGAACCGACAAAAAAAGGAAGAATAAATTTTTCGACAAGCAAAGTAAGACTCAATTCAGGGGACCTCCCCGAGGAGACCCCAATGATCCTGAAGTTCGAGCTGCCCGAAAACAGTATGCTACCGACGTGAAGTCCGGTTATCAAACCGTGTATTCTGCAGGAGCAGCCACCATATATGAAGAAATCAAAGGGAAGGGCATCTTACCAGATCCCAAACCACTTCGGATGCCCGAAGAAAAACTAGACAAATCCCGATATTGTGATTATCATAAGTCACCAGGGCACAACACGGACGAGTGTTTGAGTTTGTTAGCCGCATTGTTGCATTTGATCGGCCATCCGCAGCTTAGAAAATTTTACCGTAATACTGATCCCCAGAGGCGAGGTCCAGGATGCCAGGTCGAACCCTTTGATGAAGACGATGAGGAGGACCGAGGTGCCATGCCAAAACGCATTCGACAAGGAGACAAAGAAGTATTTGTGTTCACCTCGGAGACATCCGATTCTAACTCTGCTGGAACTTCCCGAGGACGTAAACGAGATCGGTCTCCTGAACCGATGCAAATCACAGTCCATCGTGTCAACACCAATAACTCCCGGAGTACATTATCCCGTCGACAGATCAAGGCTTATGCCCGACATGTAACACCCCGCTTCTTATTATACATCAGAGTACGCGGTTTTTCACAAATTTTCTGAATAAATAAATAAATAAACTAACTTTTTAATTTGCGAAACTGATTC